ATAGACACCGGAGGTGCCATTGATTTGAAGGCACCGCCATTCCTAGTCTTGAAGGGGCAGGGAGATCGGCTGCCCCAGGGAGTGCCTTGCCAAGTTGCAGCTGCTAGGTGATCAATAAATTCATCTGAATGGGAAAGCCGGCCTGTCGCCAGATTGATGCTCCTTGGTTAAGAGGGGTGAGCCAGCTTGGGGCGAATGGACATACAAGGGAGGGAAAGTTGCAAAAGCTTCTCCATATTTAAGGTGCTGGCCTTCTGTGGGTGCTTAGCTCGCTTGCCTAGAGTTAGAAGAATCAGTCAGTCCCCCGTCCTTTCTTTCTACATATGCATGTATTTGTGTGTGTATGTGGGTGAGTGTACGTGTGTGTGCGTGTGGAGGTCAGAAGTCAACCTCAGGTGTCATTCTTCAGGTGCTGTCTACCTTGTCTTTTTTGAGACAGTCTCTCTGTGGCCTGGCTGGAACTTGCCAAGTAGACTATACCGGCTTCAGTGAGCCCCAGTGATCCAGCTTTCTCTGCCTGAGTGAGCCATTCATTGTCCAGGCCCAGAAAAGTGTTTCTGGGAGTACATCGATTTCCTTAGAGTGGACCGCTGTATCCAGCTACCAAGTACATCTTAGCACTAGGAGTCCAGGACAAAACACACAGCTCTATGCCAGGGTGCTCTGGCTTTAAAAGCCCAACTCAGACTCCCCAATTGCTCTGCCTACTAGTGGACCCATGTCCTTAAAGCACGCCACGTCTCTTTCCTCTGCTACCCCAGTGAGGAACCCATCTTCCTGCTCTGGTTGGCTGTGCCTGATGAACACTCAGTGTCCCAGGGCTGTTAGGGATGCTGAGGGTTTGGTGAGAGAGCACAGCCTGGGGCCAGGCTGCCGAATACGAGTCCTCCCAACCTCATTTGTGAACTGTGGGATGCGGGACTAATTCTTTGACTTCTGTGCCTTAGTTTTTTTCTCTGTAACGACTATTCGCTGGGACTGAATCGTGTTTTGTCATGAGCTGTCCTGTGCACTGTATACATAACACTGCCTTCCCACCAGTCATCGTGACAACCAAATGTCTCCCAGCACTTCCAGATGCTCCGTGGGGAGCAAGTTCACCCTTGAGTGGGAAACGCTACTCTGTAAGGTAGGCCTGGAATAGCAGATTCATAGAATGCTTGTGAATACTTAATAAGCACCTCTATAAGAGACCAGTCTTCCTTCCTTTCTTCCTTCTCAAACTTCTGTTGAATGTACCAATTTTCTCCCCTTTTGCTAAAGACTCAAGCTACGCAAGTCTCTCATCTAGGGGTGGAGCATGACCCAGATCCCAGGTGGCCAGTGTTAGTCATACGGCTCCCCTTGATGACTAATATTTGGTTTCTGGAGGTAGGAAGAAGTTAGGGAGACGGGGAAAGCCCAGATGTGGATGTACTGCCCCTAGGACAATGCAGTCTGGCAGTGAGGTTAGCTCTCGCCCCGAGTTCATGCCACCTCTGTCAGGATAAAAACAGTAATACGTATTCAAAGCTCCAGGCTCCACAGAGCAGTTTTCTGGTAGGTATTGGATCTGGCTTTTTGCATCCAATTCTTGGACCATGGACATCGCAGGTGATTCTTGTTTTGCTCATCTGTGATGTGGGCACACTGAGTGTTTTTTATTTGTTTTGAGGCAGGATCTTAGTAAGCTGGGCTGGCCTATCCCCTACTTTGTAGCTGAGGCTGACCTCAAGACCCTGATCATCCTCCTCCTCCTACCTCCCTGAGTGCTGGGCCCAGAGGCCTGAAGCACTATGCCCGGCTTTGCCTGTTTTTAAAAATAGCTAAATGGGGTTTCAGCTCTGGCTGTTTGGAACTGCATATTGAGTTGGAAGGAGATGGTGGAGAAACATAGCCCAAATTAGCCTGAAAAGTGCCCCAGAGGCCTCACTGATCTTCTCTGCTGAGCAGTGGCTGTGTGCAAGGCAAACTAGAGGGAGGGAGCACAAGAAGCCTTGCTCCAAGGAGTGTATGATCTAAGAGGGACAATGTAACATGCATGTGGGTAGCTGCAGAGAAGGTTGCCATCTCGCTTAAAACAATGATGGCAACAATGCTGATAGCCCCCATTAATTGCATGATGTCACCCATCTTTGGACTTTTCGTGAGCTAATTTCCTTCAGCCCCCCCCCCCCCCCCCCCCCCCCCCCCCCCCCCCCCCGGCCTCTCTGTGGTGGAGTTCCAGTCCTTAGAGGAAGGTCTTGAAGCTTTACAAAGGTGGTAGGGTGGACACCCCAGTGAGCAGAAGGGAGTGGGGCTTCTTGTGGGAGACGTAGCCTCTGAGCCAATGCAGACTGGACCGAGAAAGAGAAAGAATTGCAACAGTGTGGGAAAGACCTAGAAGCTGATGCTTGTATTTAGAACGATAGCAAGTGACCCTGCTTGGCTGGGGGGCTCAGCGGCATAACAAGGAAAAGTAGAGGAGGCAACACGGGAAAAGGGGGAAGATTCCCACATCTTTTATCCAGATGTGAAGAAGGCTGCCAGAGTGCTTGGACGAGAGTTTTCCGAAACTGTATTTTTATAATTCAGAAATGGAGTGTGTCTGCTGTGCGGCTCATCTTAGCCACAGCCCAGACCTCCCATAACCCCTCCTGTTGATTGAAAGCTTGACCTTGCAAATGCACCCGTCCGCTGTCGTAGCAGCGAAAGTAATACAAGACTTTAAAGGAGCAAACTGGAGCGGAGGGGACACAAAAACCTTTCGCGCGGCCTCGCTTCCCTTGTTGAACTTGGCTTCTGGCTTGATTAGTTCTTCAGGCCAAAGTGATCCCTCCACATCATGAAGGCTGGGCGTGGCAAGCTTGCTAAAGGAGACTATTGAGTTTGCTCTTGCAGAATTCGCCACCATGGAAGCAAAGAAGCATAAAACAAAAACTAAAAGGGTCCTAGACGTCTTTATTGGCTCTAAGTCTAACTTGATGGGCTCAAGGTCCAGTGCAGACTTTACTAGCTGGCCGCTCATTTTTTTGATGTGTAGTCCCTTTCTAGTTCTTGCTGAAGTCTTTCCGGAATGTTGATAAAGATTTTGTGTTTGATGCTCGATATTATAGAAACATTTTATAACTCATCTTCATCTGGGTGGGACTCCCTTGAGTTCGGTTGATCCCTGACAGCAAAACGTGGAGCTCATACTGGCTTGGCTAACACCTTAGGCGTGTGTCCTTTTCCTGACCCAAGTGTGATGAAAGAATTTTCTTGTCACTTGAAAAGGCCAGATTTCATGAGGATGTGGCAGAAATACATATAGGCTTATTTGTAGTTAATGATTTGAAGGTCTTCCTTTCTAAATAAATGTGAGCTAAGAGTTTCATGGGGCAAAATTTAAATAAGGAAACTGAACTTCTAAGTCCTGGCAACAGAAACCTGAGTCCGGGGAGAGATGAAACTGAGCCTCTAAGAGTGGGAGGCAGGAAAACTGTCCCAACGAAAGCTTTTGTTGAAAGCTTGTTTTTCAAGTGCTGGGGATCCAGCCCAGGGCCTTGTGCATGCTGGGCAAGTCTTTTCGACCGAGATACCCCTAGCCCATTTTGTGTAAAACTTTTTGGTTTATGCCTTTTAAAGTATGAGATCAGTATTTTCTCTGTGGGAAGTTACAATACAAGTCTATGTTCGTATACTAAGCAGACATGCAAACGGATGGCAGTGTCTAGAACACTCCGGCACAGAGAACTATGGACTTGGATCAAGAAAGTTCTGGACAGGAGCTTGCCCTCTCTGTGACTGGAGTGAGTCATCCCGGCTCTTAGGATCTCTGCGGTATGCGAAGGTTGGACTAGAATCTCTGGGGACCCTTCTGTCTCTGGAAATTTTCTGGACCCCACAAGAACTCTGTGAAATCATTCCCCTAGGGTCAATCCTCGTTGGCTGAAGCAGCCTCTGCTCTGAGACCCAGCTGGCTAGTGAGACTGAACGCCATCTTTAGCGTTAGCTATCATTTTATACTTAGTTTTGCTTTGCCTTCTCTCAGAAGGATGAGTTCTGTGTACTTCTGGTTGACACAAACTGCTTGACCGCTGTGTCCAGGCCCTGGCAGGCCAGCACTGTGGTGAGGTCCAGCCCTGAGGTGACTTCATACAGCTGGTGTTTGAAGCCTGCCTACCCAGACTAGGGTATTTATAGCAGGGGAGAAGCTAGAGAAAAAATAAATACTCTACACCCTTCTCTGTCCTGCCCTGGACACAGACAGGCACTGTGAGGAATGGAGAAGGCTATGCTGTAGAATCTACCAGGATATTTTTAAATGTTCTTTGTTGGAGTTGGCAGGCTTGGTTTTCAAGCAGGAGGGAAAATCAGAGTCATTGAGGATGACCAGAGACCAGAAGTTTTAAAAGGCAAGAGGCAGAGCTTGGTGTGCAGGCTTTAACGTTTCTGCTCAGTCCCAGAGTTTGAGCAGGACTTGGGTAGGTTAGGATGAGAGCTGAGGTTGAGATGGCTTGTGTCCTCCTCTTCCCCATCCGCCCCTCAGATCCTAAGATGAAAACCAGCAAACTGTTCAGGTAAGGCAAGACAGGGCTGCCTCTGAGAACTCGGGGCCTGGTGGTTTCTTCTTCATCTAGGAGTTGGGAGATCAAGTTAAACACGGAGACAAAATTGGAAAGCAAATTGTTCCCAGCTGTTCTCTTGGACATAATCCTCCCGGGGCAGGCTGGATAAGCCAGAGCTGTGCTGGGATTCAGTGAAGTCGTGTAGGACAATGCCCCAGGGGTAGAGCTGTCTCTAAACCTCACCAGAGGGACCCTGACCACTGGGCCTTTGTAAAGTCTCATAGATGATGTCGTCTTCTGCTTAGCTAGTCACTGAGGAGAAAGTGGTTCAGTGGGAGGGACTTGGGGTTTAGGAGCTGGGAGGAAAGTTCAGTTTGGGGGACATCATTTGTTCAGCAAATATTTATTGAGGACTTTCTGTGTACTGGACAGTGTTCCAGGGAGCAGTGACAGACCAAATAAATAAAGTCCTGAAAGGGAGGTACTGCCCCTGCTGAAAGTGAGGGCAGTGGGCATAATGGAGGAGCCACAGCGAGGTCCTCATGGCCAGAGAAAGCAGCTCCCAGGAGAGGGACTAGCAAGTGTCCCTGGTTTCTTTGGAGAGCACAGAGGAGATCAGCGTGGTTAGGTTCATCATGGAACAGGAGGTGCAGAAGAGGAAATAACACACAGTACTATTGCATAATAGTGCCTTGCTGTTCAGCTGAGTGTGCTATGCTGAGCCTGGGCAGACCGGCACACTTCGGTTTGCATTTTAATAAGGCTATTCCCTGTGTTCTGTTGGAAATGGACTTTAGTATCAATAGAAACAAAGTGACCAGGTAAGAGGGTTTTGCAGTAATTGAAGTGAAAGAGGATGGAACTTGGACCAGGTGAGGGTGGACCAGGTGAAGGTGGACCAGATGAGACTGGAACTTGGACTGGGTAAGGGAGGGACTAGGACTGGGTAAAGGTGGAACTTGGACCAGGTGAGGGTGGAATTTGCAACAGGTGAGGGAGGAATTTGCACCAGGTGAGGGTGGAATTTGCACCAGGTGAGGAAGGAATTTGCACCAGGAGTGTTTTAAAGTCAGAGCCAATGATATTTGCTTACAGTCTGCTATGCAAGTTATGAGAGAAAAGCTGAACGTGACAGTTAGGTTTATGGGCCAAGCATTTACTGAAGTATTGAAGAGGCAGGATCAAGTTAGAGACTCAAGTGTAGATTTGGTGTCCAAACTTAACCTACAGCGATGGCAAGTAGGAAGCAGGATAGGAGACAAGGCCACTTCAGACTTAGTGAATTGTGGGATAGATTGAGCCACTGTACCCCATTGTTCTTCCAGAGGCATTGCCCAACAAGACTGGCTAGAGACTGGGACAGAAGAGGGTTAATTTCCAGTTTTAACATCATCAGTTGATGGCCTGGAGAAGCTCTTCTGTAGGCAGCCTTCATGAAGGTTCTCAACTCTTCTGTTTCAAACCATTAGCATGCGGTCTGTTTAATCAGGTCCACTTGTAACTTACATACATGTCCTCCACTTCCGGGGAAACCAGACCCCATATTCAGGCAGCTTTGGGTTCTTGCAAGTCAGTCATGAGTGAGTCAAGAATTGATACAGAAAGAGTATTCTCAGGACACTGGGTGTGTCCCAGGGCCTGCTCCTCAGAAGGGGTAGCGGGTATGTAGCTGTGGATGAAATCTAATGGTTGCCACTGCCTGACCACCTGGTGTCTGAAGGTTCCTCCGCTGTTAAATGAGGATGTCACAATTCTAATTAAGTTGCTGTCGCACTAATTCTCAGACAGAGATTCATGTTATCATCACTTGGAGAGCTTAAAAATAAATGTGATTTTGTGACTAATGTCAGAACCTTCCTTCAGAAACTCTGAAGGAAATGGTGTGGAAAAGGGCCCTGGTGGTGTGGGCAGGGCTCTCGGGAACGTCTGGTACAGGGTGAGCACTCAGACATTAGCTGTTATTAGTGGGCAAAGCATCATTGTTCTGGATGCTTGTTTCTGCCCCTCCCAGGCTGATGGCTTTCCTTCACTCCTTAGCTATGCTGCTTGGCTGGCTCCTCATCTGCAGAGCTCCCCAGGGAGCTCCAAGAGAAGCCTGGAGTGCCGGCCTTACCTGGGAGGGTCAGAGTTAGACCTGGAGTGGCGGTGCCGCCACGTGGACGTGATGTTTAATCCACTGGCAAAGCTCTGCTAATTACATCTCTAGGAGGGAGAAACTATACAGAGGTTAAGTAGCCAGTTCAGGTCTCACAGGGCCGACCCAGGCAGCCTTCCTCCAGACGCTCCAGTTCCCAGTGGCCACACATGCGTCCACCTCGGCCAGAGGAGCCAGCCGACTGTAGTCGCAACTCAGATCTCCAGCACATAAACTGTTGAGTGCTGAGCCTTACCGTGTGCCAGGGCTGTGTACTTCGTGTGTCCTGTGTCACATGGTTCCTGCCAGTGTATGTAGCCTTCTCACTCTCATTGTCTGTAGTCTTGCTGAAGAGGTGGAAGCTCAAGAGAAATCCGCTAGATGTCATTGATAAAAACGGGATAGCTTCCCTGGAGCCCTCCTGCACCCGGCGCTTCCCTTCTCCTGTCCTCAGAGGTGCCTGAGTAGCGGGAAGCATGACGGGATCTTATTAGCAAAGAAATGATGGGGTTGATAGAGGGTGAGAGAAGCTGCAGTAAGGCTTAAGCACCCCCCCAAAACACCCCCTCTGCCTAGAACAGGGAGCCATTTAAGTCCCTTAAAATACCCTCCCTTGGCAGGGTGCTGGCCTGCTGTGCGGGCTGTGCTGGAGGCATCCTCTGCCTATTTAAAGCCGGGCCCTTCTCGCGGGTGCAGTGAGTGAAATAACCTCTGAGAGACTGCGTGGGTCCGTTGCTTAAAATAGTTCAGGAGGAAGAATGTTTGGAAGCTTCTGGCTCCTTGAGTCCATTTCCTTTGAATTTATGTCACCTCAGAGAGTGCCTGGCCTCCTCCTGTTTACTTTTCTAGCTCTTCCCTTTCTACAGTCCTTGTGTCCTTTGTCATCCTAAGCCAAAGGCCTTTGTCCTCACAAAAAGTGGCAGCCTCTCCTAAGTAACTAAGTTGGGACCTTTTGTACATTTAATTTTTTTTCTCTTATGGGGTTTGGGTGGTGAGAGGCCATTTGTTTAGGAATTGGCCATTTCTCCCCTCCAGCTGCAGAGTTTCCAAGATCAGAGCTCTGGAGTGAGTTTTGTTTTTCTTTATTCACGCATACAAGGGCTGCCTCCGTGAAGCCAGGGGTTTCTCAGCACCTTCCCCTTGTGGTGCCCAGGAATGCGGATGAAAAGCTTTAGAGCCACTCTTCGATGATGTGGTCACAGCCACATGTGGCTCCTTACGTTTAAACACAGTAAAATCCGACACCCTTAAACATCTTCACACAAGCCTACTTTCCACTGCTCCATCAGCACGCATGCCCAGTGGCTGCCATACTGGACAAGGCAGAGATAGAACACATCCATCATCCCAGACAATTCTATGAGACAACATGCCCATTAGACTCTAGGTCACCAGCTGGTCACTCCGGCCAGCTCTCTAGGTCTTCATGGGTCTAAACATATAACCGCTCCCCAGCTTCTCAGAAGCCCTCTGTTTGCAGAAGTGGGAAGTTTCATGGAGGGAGAGATTAAGGTCATTGATTTTTTTGTGGCTCTAACCTTTGAACCCCTCACAGGAGGTCAATGTTTTATGGTTTCGAAACTGTGTGGCCTAGGGCAAGTCACTTAACTTCTCTGAAAAAGTTCCCTTGTCAGTGAAATGGATACCTCATGGGGTGTTCACCGGGGTTAAATAAAATGGCAACATGTGCATAAAACAAGGTTGCTACACAGTGACCACAAAGTTTGTTACACCTTCCCTGACTGGTGCCGCAGTGTGCTGTGCAGTACTTGATGTAGCAAAGGCAGGAACTCCAAGGCGTGGAATTGCCACTGCTGCTACTTCTGTTGCTAGGACTCTGTCCTCAAGCTTAGGGCTTGCTTCTTCTAGGCTCTGGGCTCTCTTCCCTGGTTTATTGAATGGCCCCTGGTCACGTCAGATGGTATCTGTTTTCCAAGGCTAGGAACTCCTCTTATCTAACTTCGATGCTCTGCATGTGCTCCTTTTGAGGGCTTTTTGTGCAAAGCCTCTCCGCACTACTTGGGGTGTTAGCACCAAGACTGTGGGTGACCACCAGAAACTTTTGAATCTGTTCCAGAATTTTAGGTTTTGAGTGTCTCGTGTGCCCTGTGGGTCTGCTCTAACCTGTGCTGTGAGAGCGGAGACAAATGTAGCCCTCGCTGGGATCTCGCAGAGGGAACTTTGGAAGGATCATATTTGGGACCAGGAGAGGCCTCTCTTGAGTAGAGAGAGCAGAGGCGGAGATCTGTTCACACTTGCGGCCTGGGTCAACCCTGGACCATCCTTTCATTTGCCTAGCTTACCTGCTAACAATTTAACCTCTCTGTACTTCAGTCCTCCCGTCTGTAAAAAGGGAATAATGCTAAGAACCCACCTGGTAGTGTGTCTGGGAGGATTCAGATGGTGCCCAGTGAAGTCTCTAGCCCCAGGCTCACAGCCTCTGATGGGACTGACATGCACAGCTCACAGGAGCGAGCTGTGTTTTCCATCTTCATCCTTTGTGCTTCCCAGGGATGGCACTGGGGATCCTTGACTCTGCCATGAGCTGTTTGCATTTTCTATGTGACGATCTATGGTTTTAAGTCAGAGAAAGTGATCAGGAGGGGGGCTAGCACTTAAAGGCGATGTGTGAATTACATGTGTGTGGTGTGAACTCCATGTGGTCTCTTTTCTCTTCTCTCTTCTCTCCCTGTATGGCAGAGATAAAAAGTACACCGCAGTTGTCATTTCAGATGCTCACAGGTGACCACCAGCCCGCTTCCCTCCTGCTGCTGCCTTGGGCTGTGTAAGCAGCACCGCCCAGTCCTATAGTGTAATCAGATCTGAGTTCTTGCTGTAGGATTCGTGTGTGGTGTGACGTGCTCATGTGTTTATGCAGTTGCCACTCATTCGCCCACAGCGAGATGTGCCAAACCTGACACTTGAGACGAACTCCAAATAGCTCGGAACTACGTGCGGGGTGTACATGAATCTTCACACAGTTGTCCCAAGGCACATATCTAAACTGGGGGAATCCAACTGCCATGCCTCCTCCCCTCCTCCCCCTTCTGTGCCTAGAGGGAGGAATCAGTCACAAAGAGAACCTCCAAGAAAAGGAAGGACACCAGGCCAGGATATTGTGTCACTACGTTGTCATCATTTGGGAAACTTGGGCCCCCGCGGTGGGCCCTAGGCTGACCAGACTGGTGTTTTTGTGGCTTTCCTAGCGCTGTCAAATCTCTCCTCTTTAAGGGATAGCTCTGCCTCTTCTTGCCAAACAGTTGTTTTGACTGTTACCAGAACTGAGGTCTTCTCCACTGTCAGCACAGCCCCAAAGGGCCCAATGAGTACATGTATGTGTAAGTGTAAAATAGTGTGTATGAGCAAGTGTGTGTTTGCATGTGTGTGTATGAGAGAGCAAAAGAGTATGTATAAGGGAGGGAAAAGAGTGTGTGTGTGTGTGTGTGTGTGTGTGAGAGAGAGAGAGAGAGAGAGAGAGAGAGAGAGAGAGAGAGAGAGAGAATATGTGTTTTGGTTTGAGCCCACACATATCTTTCTCCTTTCAAAAATACAAGAGACCTTTAACTTGAACATTTCCAGGACTGGCTCATTGCTGAAACATCTTGAGACACTTAAAAAATGGTACTTACATGGCTGTATTAATTTTATAGCTCTAAAATTGGAACTAGAATGTCTGTGTGATATTTA